TAACTAATTCTTAAATGCAAGCAACACAAAAATACCTTACACATAAAAAAACATTTTTATTACTTGCATCGTTTACGAAAAAAAAAAAAAAAGGAGGGAATTTTAATTTAGAAAATTAGGAAAGAAACTTCCTAATTTTGTTCACTGCAATTGACACGTAGGCCTGCTTTCGCTAAGAAAAGTTTTTCTAATGTGTCATCACTAATATTAGATCTAAATTTAGTCCTCGTTTACGCAACAGCATTGAAAATCCTCTCACACTCTGCACTACTATGGGGAACTGTCAAGATGGCCAACACAATTCTAGACAGTTGGCTATATTTTAAAATTCCATCAGCAGCACCTTTCAGTTTTTCCAATTAAACTCCACTGGGGTGTCAATCCTAGCTGATTTTATAACTTCATTTCAAGTTTTCTAATTGTAAACTGCTGTTATGCAGCTGTTGGAACTGTTTCAATTTTTCCTTCCTTTTAGAACTCCTTTCAAGATAATAATAAATATCAACAATGTGTTCATCCACATTTATTGGTAAAGAAGCTGCCCCTTTTTCAGCTGCTAAATTTAAGAGGTGACAGGTGCACCTCATAATCTGCAAATCTGAATTTTCCTTTCTTAAGAGGCCTGCAACACCAGTCTTCAAGCCTACCAATACTGGTGCATTATCGGCACCAAGTGCTAAGCAATTATCCAGAGGGCCTGCATTTTCTTTTAAAATTTAATAATTAGCTGTGGTATATTAAAGCCTGTCAAATGTTCCTTCTAAAATGAGGACAGAAAAGTAACTGCACTCAATTTCTTAAGAATCTGGATTAAAAAAAGAAACAACAATTGGATACAGTTTTGAATCGGTATTATTGCTTCTATCCGTAGAGAGGCAGAACGGAGCTGTTTTGTGCAATTAATAACTGAAGATTTATTTTTCAAACTCATTTCTTTAACAATTGCACCTGTTTTGGTTCTTGCACTTGAGTATTTATTAGCAATTTCACTATCGGGAAACATTTTTCTAAATAAAGCTGCAGCGTGATCCGATGCATTCAGTGGCAGGTTGTGCTCCAGTAAAAAGGCAGAGAACAGACATTCTGCATTAATAACTTTTTGGTCCTTTGTTTCCGAAGAAAAATTTAATTTTTCGTTTTTTTAAAAAAACAACTCATGTTATCCTTGTGTTTTTGTGTTCGCACATGTTTGAGAACATCCGCCCTTCCACATTGCGAATTCGAAAAATTGCAACGACAGGCGGTGCACATCGCAAATTTATTACATTTCCTTGAGGAAATAATGGAAGGTCAACTGTGTACGATTAAGTCAAATGTGTACGATTTTTGAAACGTACACGAGTATTTCATTCTCGCAGACATAACAAATGATGATAATTTCTAAAACTATTTCCCGAAGGCACGTGCACTCACACAACTCAGGCACAAGATGAACGAAATAACGAGAGAACATCCAAATAACAGCCTTTTGCTTGCTTTGTGCTCATTGGCTAATATATGCCAGATGACACGCAGTGGAGTTCGATGCCTTATTGGAGAACTGGAGAACGACGTTTCTGGGATACGTATATGCTCTCACTCACAAAGCAGAAATTCTCATTCTGATTTCGCAAGGTTTTGTTTTAGATATAATCTAGAGAAAATTCAATTGCTTTCAGACGTCCAAAATCACTTTTTTTTGGGGGGGGGGACGGTTGTTCATATAACAGAAGTATTAAGCCAAGATTCCATAAAAATCGTGAGAAATTTTAAGAATAAGAAAAAGTCGGGAGAAATATATTGTAAATCGGGTTGGCGGGAGATCGGTCGAAAATCGGGAGTCTACCGCCTAAATCAGGAGAGTTGGCAACTCTGAATGTGAATTAACAAAAGACCTTAGAAATAGCAACATGGACTTTAAGGACCTAGTTTATACCAGAAATGAATAAAAAAATGTGTTGTCTTTTACGTTTTTCCTTCATTTCCAGTCTAGAAAAGCCATAAGGCGAGCTTGGACTTGCCAGGAAGGTGGACCGCACTATACCTGCTTACCTACCTACCTAACTCTGCTATGAGTTTTAGAAGAGTTATTGTTCTATATATGCAACAATGTGTCTTGAAATCATTAAAGCAAAAACACACAGTGAAGAACACTTAAGTAGCAGTCAAATCCAAGAGATGGCACTCTCAGGTTTCTCTCTCATTGGAGCAGAGAACAGAATTTCAGACTAACCCCTCCCCACAGTTCATCTCTAGCATCTGCACATAAAGGATCTGACTGACTTCGCTTTGGTTGTGCAATGACGGCTGACATACCTGCGAACTAGTATACATGCTACAAATGGAGATTCCTGCCACTTTAATTACGACTCAGATCTTACATTTTTATTGTCTGTGTACATGTGCTAAACTAACAAATTTTCTAATCTAATTAAAGTAGTGGTTCTAAAAACAGATATGTCATCTTTACCTTACATTAACACACATCTCTACATAATGACGACCTAGAATATCTCTACTATGATAAAATACAAGGCAACCAAAAACGTTCTTGCCGTTTGTGATACAACATTGGAAGAGTGAACCCCAACATAAAAATAGTCACCAAACCTGGCGATGAAGTAATTAGGATGAGAGTCCAGACATTGACATAGAGTATAAAAGCGTGTTGCATTGGTACTTCAAACATAACTCACAAAAAGACTAATTGAAATGGACACGTGCCACAGGTGCATTCATTCGGAAGTTATTCGCTGTATGACTTTACCAAGTGGGCCATGTCAGCACCAGAATCAATGATTGCCAGAATTTACCAAGACTTTGGGGGATGATGACGTTAACGAACGAACAGCTAGACAATGATTCCAGAAATTCAGATCAGGGAATATGTCTCTTAGTGATGCACCATGCAGCGGTTGGCCCCAAGCACTGGATGATGAGGCCCCAAGGGAAGCCATAGAGAATGACAGTAGCCAACCATGTGGTGAGCTTGCTGCACAATTCCAGGTATCTGATGAAATGATCAGACTCCATTTACACCACATAGAAAAGGCATGCAAGCTGAGCAAGTGGGTATCCCACTCGCTGTCTGATGCAAACAAGCAACAGCGTGTCTCTGCCTGTTTGTCACTGCTTACTCGACATCATAATGCATCCCTATTTGATTGAGTACTCACCAACAATGAAAGGTGGGTCCAGTATGACATGTATTCCAGGCATTCGTTGCCACCACGAGACCCTGTGCCTCACACTGCGAGACCTTCTCTCCACCCACGCAAGATCATGCTCTGTATCTGGTGGACTAGTTGCAAAGTGGTGCACTTTGAGCTCCTGGCCAGTGGGTCAAACCATCACGACAGGCCTGTACTCGCAGCAGTTGGAATGTGTGCATCAGGCACGGATGTGTAAAGAGCCAGCATTGATCAATCATGAGAGTGTACACCTTCTCCATGACAATGTGAAGCTGCATGTAGTTCGGGAGGCCAGGGACACCATCCAGTGACTGGGCTGGGAGACACTACCTCCAGTCGCTGGCCCAGTCATCAACCATACTCCACAGACCGCGCCAACAGACTACCACCTTTCCCATTCCCCGGACAATCATCTTCATGGGAATTCCTTCAACAACCGGCCAGACCTCAAAAAGGCCTCACTGACTTTTTTGCATCCCACGACTCCTGAGTTTTACCGAAATGGCATCGCACAGCTAGCGACTCTTTGGCACAAGGCACCGAATGCCGATGGTGATTACTTTGAGGATTAGATGTGATTATTATTTGTTTTATGACTTTTTCTTTCTGACTGTCCAAAACGGCAGGAACTTTTTTGGTTACCTTGTACAATAACACTTTTTGCTTTGTAAAGATCATATGTTTTAATGGAATGAAAGCTTTATTTTCTGACAATATGGCATGCAGGACCATACTGTCTGTGTTAAGTAGATGATATCTATCAACAGGCAGATATAAATGGTGATAAACCCAGTGCCTGCTTCAACATGGCTACATAGCAATCACATTCAGGACATAAAAGCATGGATTGTTTCAGGAGGCTTAATAAACCTTCAAGTTCAAACAATTTGCTTCTCTGATTTTTTTTCAGCTATATTCCAGACATAGATCCAAGCAATGTGAAAAATATTAAGTCATCTGAGGAAGCCACTAATTAGCAGTGTTACAGTAATTTACATTAATCATTTTATGTCAATATGTTAGTCCAATTATATTATCGGTTTTCGAATTTCAGTTACAGTATCATTCCATATATTATGATACTATTTATAGTTACTCTATGTTAAGCTTAAACACATATTATGTAATATCCATATTATGCAACTAATTGGTATCCAGTATGAACAGCTGTTGTTTTCTATCAGGCAAAGAGACTACTGCTCACTGATGCAACAACTCTCATAGGTGATCTCTTATGTCTCCATCATTACAACAGTTGTCATTGTTTGTATAAAATGTGCAATACCTTTACACTCTTGGTAATTATCAGTAATTAATAATACCAGCAGTTTTCTTAAAAGAATTCCCCCCTTTTGCAATTAATGATTATCTTTTACAAATTCAATAAATCACAAATTTAAAAAAAAATTCTGCTTGCTCTCTCTCACAGTATTGGTATAATTAGCACTCTATTTATGTATATAATGTGTAGTTTTTGTTGACTAGTGATAGACATATGTGAATCAGTTGTCACAGTTAGCATTTTGGTAAGCAATACATTAAGTAATTATAAAAATGGTGATAACATCAATGCATAATATAACTATAATTGAATTGCTAAAATTAATGTGTGTGACTTCTTGTTATTGGAAAAAAATTATTATTTTTTTATGAAAACATTATAATTTTGTGTTTTTTATGAAAACATTATAATATTTGTCTTTGTTATTAAATTACTGTGGAAGATAATTTCAAATCTCAAAATAAATTTAATTTTTAATGGATTACTGTAAATTTGTTAAACTACAATTAAAAAAATACATGAATGAAAAATTGTTTTAAACTTCTTACCATATGATTTCTTCTTGGCAAAGTATTTCTAGGAATTCTTTTTTATATGCATTATTACCTAAACCTATCCCAAAAAAAGACAGAAAAAGTATATGTATATAAAATAAATTATATTTAAATAGTTCTGAGAAAAAAAAAGATAACTAGTTAACATAAAGACCTTCTGATTACCATAAGGTAATAAATAATTAAAAACAAAGTCTTTAAGAAACACATTTGCAACATTTTCTACCAAATCAACAAGCTAAACTACCTATATCTAAATTCTAAATATGGATTAAATAGAACAACTATTTATGAAAACATTATAATATTTGTAAAATAACTTCCACTATGTATTAACTTTAACAATTATTTATAAATGCTATCTAGCACTAATAAGACATATCTAAGACTTGAATGCAACTAGTTTCTTTTCATTTCATTCAATATAGAATTTGTCAAAATTTATAATTTCTACTCCAGAAAATTCAAAATTTTCCTTTTATGAGCAATGATATTTAACTAATTTAATATAAGTACAGTGAGGCATGGTGGCGCAGTGGCTAGTGCATCGCGCAGCATCACCACAGGTCCGGGATTCGAACCTCCGACTGGGTAAGGTCGACTTTCATCCCCTGGGTCGATAAAATGAGTACCAAGTTCGCTCGGGCACTAAACACTGGGGATCCTGCAACAAGCTGACCACTTGTTCAGGGCATATGCTTACGCAGCCCACAGCCCATGGTCAAGAATGCAGATTTCAGGGCACTGCAGGCCTTGGTCCATTAGGGCTGTTTGCGCTACTTAATTAAAAAAAAAATTAAATTAAATATAAGTACAGTACTCTTCCACTATGCACCTGCCAGGCTTTTTGGCACCTCTGAAGAAAATGAAGACAAACACCTGTTTTACTTGTAAACAATTTCTATTTATAAAAATAGTCTATAGATGGCAACATGCTTATTTATATCACAAGTTGTTGGGTCTTGGTCTATGTTTAACTTCTCTTTCATGGGTGTCAAAATGCCTAGCGAATGCATAACAGAAAAGTACTTTAAGTACAACAAAAAACATATATTTAAGTACTTACATAAAATTTTAATTAGGAAAATGCAAAAATCTCTTTATCAACTGTGCATAACATTTCTGAAAATTATTTGACTGATACTAAACTCTAATCTTAATACGCCAAGCACATCCCTCATTCACCAGAAAAGAACATGCAAAATGTAAAATTTAAAATTAGGCAAAAACACAACCTAAGTCTGGAGCAGATGTTTCCAAGAGATTTTCTTTTATAAACAGCAGGGGGGAAAATCCTGTAGAATTCCTCCCCTCCCATTGAAGAAGAGAGACATTGTGACATTGTCTAATCCTCAAATCGATAAAGTTATTCACAATCTAAGCAAAATCAAGGCTGTTTTTTGGCTAACTTTAAATGTTTGTCTAAAATCTAAAACAAGCTGTTCGGCAATGTAATCCCTTATTTGGTAACATTTGTTTTTTATTCTTTGCAACTTTTATATTTTATTTTTACCTTGTAAGGTTTATCCTAAGTTTTAACAGTGATTTTAAGTTAAAAGCTACTTTCCTGTCCTTACTAATTTCAGCTTACAAATCCCTACCAAAATGTGTTTTCAGAATCGCAGTTAATGCAAATGATAAGAGTGGTATTTAAGTCGAAGTTCCACTGACTTCGTTAGAGAGCCAGAGTTTCTGATTAGCGCGCATTCACCTTTTGGCTACATATCTCTCTAAGATATTACTACAGTTGGCCGCATTTCATGCCCTCGATAGCTTTGCCAGCTTATTTGATATTTAGGCGCCAACTATTTAGAAATCTTGATAGCTTCAGCTATATCTTTTTAGTTAAGCATTAGTTAAGTTTTATTTCTTATGGTACTTTTCCATTTTGCCGGCACAGGCGCCAATCATGATACACCAATGCCAAAAGGAATATCCTCGCTGGTAACGTTTGTAAGACCAATCTCTATTCTTCCACATAAACTAAATTAGATCCTACAATGAACCTGGCAAATTCTCGCACAGGCATGAATTAAATACCAGTACAGAAGAAGGGTGCAAAATAACCCTTTATTAAATCAAACTAATTTAACAGAAAGGCATGGACTTTGTGTGTTACAAAACACCGTTCACTTGCGGTAGTAACTAAACATAGACTATAATACAAATCACATCTGAAAAATAAAGAGTGCAAGAATGCACTTCAATTTAACCCTAAGAGGTGGACTCGCAGAAATCTAACTGGCGTGATACTAAACTGATAAGGCCAAGAGGCTTACTAGCTTGACCACAAAATAACAACAAAACGTGCACTTGGTTAGCAAAACACACTCTGAATAAACTGAGATAACCACATGTCTAAATAGCACTTCACTTAACTTTAAATTTACATTCTGGCGAGAGAATGTAAGGGGCAGTTGAGAAGTTTAAAACAGGAAAACTTAAAATAAATTTATGCAAAATAAGAAAAATCCTACACGTTTTACTCCTCATTTTCACAACAAGTCGCAGCCATTTCTTATCAGATTGATTGTTTCTTTCAATACTGGCATTCAAATACATAGAATTTTTATCAGATAGTTCAATTTTATGTCCTAAGGCCATTCGTGGTAATTAAGTCAATAAGGATGCAATCACAGCGCTCACTCGAAGTTGAAAATATAGAAAATTCAAGGGTTAAATTTATCAATTCTAACGAGAATGCACTAGCAAAGCAAAGCACTGCGGTTTTACATAATTTGAATAAGCTATTCGTAAGAATTGAAATAATACTTGCATTTAAACTTAAATTCCAAATGAAGATTTAACTTGAAATTAATGTAGATAATTACTGAGAGAAATAGATTTTTGTAACGTAGTTTACGTGAGATGAGATCACTTGGGGTCACGTGATATGAACCGGCGAATCAGGATGGTGTACCATGAAAGCATAATATATTCTTAAATTAATTTTGTTTTACAAATTTATTGTCTTTATTTATGGGCTTTTTACAAAATTTTAAACGGCATTAAAATGTTTATACCTTCAAAATAAAAAATTCTTAGAACTAACGTTTATCAACATTTTTTATGTGTATCTGTGTTTTCACCAATAAAGTCTGCTTGGCGAAATCTGTGCCAGCACAACGGAAAAGTACCTTTCTCATTACTTTGAGTTCAAGCCCAAGTGGAGTCTTTGCTGTATGCTCTGAGACTGTGAAGTTTGTATTTTGAGAAATAAAGGGTAATTAATGTATTCACGAGGTTCCTACACACTTAGTTGTTAGATAAAAGGTTGGAACCCCAGTACCTTATTTGGTAAGTTTAAAAAAATATTTCATAACAGTTTCATCCTATTTATCAAACTGTTGATCTCAATAAGAGATATATTTTCAATGTTTTGCATGCAAATGAACATGACTTTGGCCACTCAATAACAATATCCAAACAATAGCATTAATTCTGATCACATTAAGCAGCGTCTATTGTAAATAGGTAAACTTTTTGTGAGTCAAAAACAAATCCAGGTAAAATGCTTTGAAAATTTGTTATTTATTAGAAAATAAAAATCATTGGTTAGAGCAAACTGAAGTTATCGCAGTGACTAGTTTAAGCAATTGTGTGATTTTATTTTTGGTTGTTTCATTTACGGTAACCCAAGTAGTTAAATGTTATGGAAACCCTATTATGATGTAGTCGGTTGCATGACTGCGGTAAATTTTGAATTATTGGATGTTTTGTAAGGGCTTGTAGTGTGCATTTGTTAGGAAGTACATTGCTTGTTTTGTTGTTTAGACGGTAGAATGGCTGAATGTAGTAAGATTAACTTGAGGTTTCCATACGATTTGGAACAAAAGGGGAAAAGAGCATTAATTGACTGGTGTGTAAACGATGGTTTACTTAGTAGCCATTTTCTGGACAGTCCGGAAGTACGGAGGATATTTTAGACTCTTATTTATGTGAATTTATGTGGCGACGCCGATATACAGACTCGAGTTTGGATAACTTTAGAAAGTTTTTGGATTATGTTAAGGAATTTTGTGTGACACAGACTGAAGACAAAGAAATTTCTAAATAAGGTAAGTGGATATTTGCTTTGTATATGGCTTAGATGCATAAGAGGTTTTTCCTTTTCTATGCTACCTTATTGTTTGGTTTAAAATGTAGTTTATTCAAACTATATATATTTTGTTTACCTCTACTGTAGATTTGGGTGATCCTTTGACTTTTTAAGTGAAAATATGGATGACAAAGGGATTAAACGATGACAAAATAGCGATGAACAAAGGGAGTGCACAGTGCCAAGTTTGTATAATTCTCTGATTTTTTTAATTTTTTTTTTTAATGTGAAAATAGGACGTGTACGTGGATAAAGTCAAGGAAGTGTGCAGTGACTAGTTTAAGCAATTGTGTGATTTTATTTTTTAAAGTGAAAATAGGTTAATGTGTACATGGAAACCAAGTTTGTGCAATTCTTTAACTTATTACTTTGTCTTTGTGTAGCGGAAATTTTTGGTGTTAAAATCGCTACTACACAAAGCCAAAATAAATCAAAGATGTTAGGATAAATTTAGGTATTTTGCATAATGAAACTCGAAAGGCATACGAAACGAACGTGCGCCAAGATATATATTGGCGAGAGAAAGTAAAGTTCGTGTGCAATGCAGTATATTTGACTTTCACCTTAGCTACGTGCAGTGAATTCGATTCTCACCTTATAAGCTATTTGCACCTGGGCAAAAGGTCTAATTCAGTTAGTGCTATCTCTTTCAGGTACTGTGTCAACGTATGTTCCTGTTTTTTATTTATTTTTTTTTTTTTAATTATTGCCTAAAGAGGTAAGCCTGATGATATTTAGGACTGATGATGATTCTATGTAAGTTATTCTTTTCAATACTTCAGTGTTTTAATGTGCATTGAAAAATGTATGATGAGTCACTTAAATTTTCAATTTCCATTGCTTTATTTACAGAGAAGCCCCTTTCCACAGAAGTTTGTCCATGTGACCAGATAAGAAAAAGTCCGAGATCCGGACATCCAATATCTGGAATGATCTAAAATCCAAACCTCAAAGTCACC